CCCCAAAACCCCAAAACCCCGTAAATAAGAAATCTAATTTAATTAGAATAGTATCTTTTCAAGATTAAGATATATTTCAAAATAATTATATATTAGTATCTTTATTAAATATAGTTATTAAAGTAGATTTAATGAAATAGATCAGAACCCCTTGCTTACTAATATTCATACTCGGTATATAAGCTCTGGTAAATGGTCAATGTGAAAGAATGGAAGTAATGTTGGAAAATTACAGTCTTAATCAAGAGACATTCGTCGAGATTCCATTCACATTGAATCGAACAATTTCAATTGGAGATAATCTTTTGTTTACATTCGGTTCTCAGCTTTAATTTTCACAATAACTAATCCAGTGTCAACTATTGTCCAGATATGGCATTCAAACAGATTAAGTTCTTGTTGAAAATGAAAAAGGAGAAATAAAGTGGGGTTTAGATTTTTCATAAAAGGGGGGAACCTGTATACCCTACATTTTGAAATGTATGCACTGAAAGTGTCATCAATAAGTAAATTCGAATCAACTTGAAAGGACAAAATACTACAGGCTAAGGAACTAATTTCTAGATAATAATCTACGACTTCCCATTAATTAGTTTTCCTTAATCACTCTAAATGACAAGGCAGCTTCCAGATGATTCCAAATGCTCATTATCAAGTTCGATATTTAGCTTTACAGAAAATTCGCACCTATAAAACGAGGTTGTAAAAACTACAACAAAAATCATCAACAATTCTACTCTCATTTACTAGCTATAGAATGAAAACTTAATTGAGATGCAAAAGATTATATTAGTGTTCTTAACTTTATTGATAATTTTGGTATGCTCAATTATTTTCTGGGTTGTTAGAAGACGATTCTTTTTATTTTTTAGATCTAAGATGTCTGCGTTTCGATTATTGATTCAAAAATTTTAAAATAATTAGAGACAAAAAGATCCTTGTAGTGGAGGAGAGAATAGAGATTAAGAAAAAGTTAGGAACAATTTGTATAATGAGTTAATAATTAATTTTTCATTTCTTTTAATCATTAACACCTATCTTATATTTAAGAATTCTAGATATTAATTCTCTTTTCAAATGCTTTTTATATTGAATGAAGGGGTTTTGGGGTTTTGGGGTTTTGGGG